CGACAAAAAAAAATTACTTTCTTACTTTCTCGTGTCTCATATTATCTCTCTCTCTCCGTCTCTCACCTCACGAGACTAGATAAAAAATAATACTCGTATAACTCATTATCTCAACTAACTCATTATCTCAACTAACTCATTATCTCAACTAACTCATTATCTCTCACCTAACTCATTATCTCACCTAACTCATTATCTCTCACCTTACTCATTATCTCTCACCTTACTCATTATCTCTCACCTTACTCATTATCTCTCACCTAACTCATTATCTCTCACCTAACTCATTATCTCTCACCTAACTCATTATCTCTCACCTAACTCATTATCTCACCTAACTCATTATCTCTCACCTAACTCATTATCTCTCACCTAACTCATTATCTCTCACCTAACTCATTATCTCTCACCTAACTCATTATCTCTCACCTAACTCATTATCTCTCACCTAACTCATTATCTCTCCCTCCCTCTAACCATAGGATTAAACACCTTAGCATTGAGTTTCATGATTGACAGACAAACACCCCCCCCTCCTCCCCCTCTCCCTACCTGGTGATAATTATAACCAGGTAATTTGACTGATTATCCCTGTGGCAATGAGGATAATTACCCCTAACGACGTCGTGGATTAATTTAATGGTCGTAGGGTAAATAATCTTATAATTGTTATATATATATAGTGGAGGTCTATTGTAAAGAAATATATTGGATTATATATATACTGTCTTGGATAATGTGTGTGTGTGTGTGGTTGTGTGTGTGTGTGTGTGTGTTATTGTTATTGATAGAAGATGCGTCAACCCCCCCACCCCCCATCCCCTCTGTGGTCACCTGTCAGTACTCGCCAGGTGTGTTCAGGTGTAAGGGGCATATCAAATCACAAGTAATCTTCTATGAATTAATTTAAATTTTTTTTTCCTTACTTACCTGGTATAAAGGAAGAAAAATAACCCATGTAAATCTTAAATGTTATTATTTTGCATCGTACAGATTCATTACCAGCGTATGTCATCACCCACAAAAGGAGTAATTTAACATGAAAATAAGTACAATACCTCCCACGATATAACATTATATAACACGTGTAGTATAACAATAGGTCGCATACCATCCAATACGTAAACTGATGACCCTAGTTTAAAGTAATGAGTTTCTGTTGACCTAACTGTCTGACCTGGTTTATAATCGTCCTTAATTACTCAGGTAAACATAGGATAGTGTGACCGAGTCTTCCACAGGGTTGAAGTTGATAAGTATTTTATTTGTTTTTAATCATTACTTCCGTCTATGATTATGTTTATTGTAATGACGTTATGTAAGTCGAGGCGAGATGAATGATAATGGGTTAGGTTAGGTTAGGTTAGGTTAGGTTAGGTTAGGTTCGGTTTTTTTGTCGAGTTGATATTACCACAGCAAACACTGAAAACAGACACAGACAGACAGATAAACAGATACATACCACACACACACACACACACACACAGATACACACATACACACTTGCATACAGACAGACATACACACTGTTACTCTCACGTTACACCAATCTGACCCAAAAGGATTAACAAACTCTCTTATATAAAATTACTCTAAGATTAATTACACAACAAATTATTACAACCGAACCTGACTTACTGTAGTCTATTGTTAAATAATCTTATCTTAAAAATACAGGAATGAATACAGGAGCCGGGAATAATACAGGAGAGAGAGAGAGAGAGAGAGAGAGAGAGAGAGAGAGAGAGAGAGAGAGAGCCGATTGCTATATACCTGACGTCATCTGGTTAGGTAAAGTTAAGACCAATTCAGAGAAATATTATAAATAGAACAATGGAATTTTAACTCATTATTACTTAGTCTAAATTTGCATTTCTCATCAATTTTTTCAGCCTGAGTTTCTAGAATATGTATTGCGTGTCAAGAACCTTCACTGAGGTATCTTATTTCAGGGTAAAGTGCGTGAGGGAGGAGCGAGGTGCCACGCCTTGATGGTAATAACGTGACGCATCTTATAGTGAAGGACGGACGGGAGGTGAGGGAGGGAGGGAGGTAAGGGAGGAAGGGAGGTAAGGGAGGAAGGGAGGTTGCCACAGTGTAATAATAATGGCATGACGTATATTGGTAAAGGGTGGGGGGGGGAGGGTGAAGCCACGTTGTAAAAAATATGGATGACCTGGGGTGGTAATAAGATGCTCTCTACACGACATTGTTAACTTCTTCGTCAGGAGATTGATTTAAGGTTATTTATTGTCCTCTTACATAGGCCTCAGTCCCTTCTGTCTAGCAAGGAACATGTGAGGGAGGGAGGGAGGGAGGGAGAATAACAACAATTACATCATACAGAGACAAAGGGAGAGAAAGAAAGAGAGGGAGGATAGCTCTATGACAGTACCATGCATACTTACAAAGGAATGACACACCCTTATTCAGTCTGGTCTTTAACACTCTTATTCAGTCTGGTCTTTACACACTAGTTCTTACAAGTTTAACACTGTATATTTTGTTGAATTTCTCTTTAAAAAAATCTTTGGTTTCTGCCTCACACTTATCCTAAATTCTTCTCTTACTTGGGGGATGGTGTGAGGTTATCTACCGTCGTCCTCTACAGAAGTAAATCCAGAGAGAACATTCTAAGCTATACTACAAAACAGCAGCCCCGGAAATTAAGGTGTTGAGACAAGGTGCCCCAAGTGGGAATACTGAAGTCGGGATTTACTGGTGCACCAAATACGACCAATTCCCAAATTCTTGAGAGTCTTTAAGTCCCACCGGGAGGGGTGTTTGTTCAGGGGGAGGGAAGCCTGGCTGGTTTTCCAATAAACACTGTCGAGGTTCCATTCCAGGGGCGGCCTCCAGGGACCTGAGGGTGTGGGCGGGTGAGTGGACTCCTCAGGCCTGATTTACAACCCCTCACACTCAATCTACATCTGCCTTGTAGTCCTCACACTAATGAAGTTGTGGTGAATCGAGGGAATGAAAATGGCGGGAAATAATGTAAACAATGAAGGGGGATTAAATATAGCACGTGAGCATTTATAGTCCGGAATATCACAAACTGATCCCATATTGTTGTGATTTACATCAACCCCTTGAAAACGATGACTTAACCCCTTGAAAACTATGAATTAACCCCTTGAAAACAGTGACTTAACCCCTTGAAAACCATGACTTAACCCCTTGAAAACAGTGACCTTATCCCTTGAAAACGATGACTTAACCCCTTGAAAACTATGACTTAGCCCCTTGAAAACAGTGACTTAACCCCTTGAAAACAGTGACTTAACCCCTTGAAAACCATGACGTCAACCTTGAAAACAGTGACCTTGCCAAAAACGGTGACTTCTTTGAAAACGGTGACTTACAGAAGACGTGGACCCCTGAAGAAACGGTGACTTAACCCCTTGAAAACAGTGACTTAACCCCTTGAAAACGATGACTTAACCCCTGAAGGTGACTTAAATGAGATAAATTAACCCTCAGAGAACATCATCACCTTACTCAAAAAGAGATTAAGCCAATGTACTCCAAGAGGGTTAAGCTATCATTCCCCACGGGGTTAATTCACTTTACAAAGAGGGTTAGCATCGTCCTCAATGGGTTAAAGCTCACAGAAATAACCCCCCAATAATAACATAGGAGTAAATGGAGCAGCAGGGAGAAGAGTTTATTTAGAAGGGTTACTGAGAGGATTGTGAGAAGAGCCTACAGTGTGTTGGTACAAGAGGAGAGAGAGATGACTGACTCGATCTGTAAACTCACTCTGATGACACAAGACCCCCTTTCACGTTTGACGTCTTGACACTCAATAAAAAAAAGGAAAATTATGGTTGTTAGCAGACGTAGAAATATAAGGTTTATGTGAACTGGAAATGAAGAGAAGGGATTTGTTTGACGTGGTTGGGATTGTATTTATGGTTAAAATCCCAATAGAGAAACACGTGTTTTTGTGAAGGCATTCGAGTGTATGAGAGACCAGTAAAGAGGATCAAGAGTGTATGTGTGTGTGTAGGTCTAGACTCGTCATCACAAGAGGAACGATAAAAAGGTGTGAGAGTACAAGAGGAATGAAGGATGAAAGGAATGAGACGCAAAACAGTCTAGGAGTCCCTGTCGTAAAGCTGAATACATGATACATCTCCCTCCTCCCGGTTCTTGGTATATTTCAGTATATCATCTACATGGTATACATCTTCCCTAGCATCTAACGTATCATCTGTTTACCTAAATATTATAGACACTAATACCAAACAAATATACAGATTATTGGTAGTTTAATCTTTATTTCTTTTGAGTTTCTTTATTACATCTTTATCATTGTATAGTTTCTTCTATCTTTTGTCCATCTTTTCTTTTTTACTTCTTCTGCCTCAAAGTGTTGGCATCACTCAACTCATTACTGGGACGTGACCTGACCCCTGGTTAGGTCATGGTTGAGGTTATTAATTCGGAATATTTTTTTGAGTTATTTGTAATCTATTTGGTTCTTGATGATATTGTTTACATTGTCCTTGGGTGATATCCGTGTCTGAAGTTGTCCAGGATGTTGTTTAGATATTGTTCTGTGAAATGGTTTAGTTTATGTTTGTGTGGCCAATTCCCATTTTCTTTGGTGTGTATTATTTAATTATTATGTTAGATTATCAGTATTGTGCTTTAAAAGAACTGTTGTATGTTTTGATTTCATTTAGATTATCAATTGTAATGTAGAGGTTCTTTTTTATGTGTGGAAAATAGCTGTCTGTGCTGGGCTAGGTGGCCTTGTGGAGTGGAGACGGTGTGGATGCAGTTGGGTTTCTACAAAGTCATATACACAGCCAGGATTTCACTTGTCATTTTATCATGTAGTTATATTCGGGTTAACTTAACAAGAGCTACTAAATACCAGGAAAAGTGTTAAATTATGTGTGCCTTTAGAGACCTTTAACTTATACTTGATAAGGCATAACTATATATAAATAAAGAGATGTATATTCATAAAGGTTTTATTAATTTTTCAGCATACAACAATAAGAACATTTGTGTGAAGGTAAACTAGTGCCGGAGATGTTTGGTTAACAGAACAACTGGTGATGATGTGGGGTTGTGTCATCAGTCAAGAACATTGTACAATCATCTACATTAAACCAGTCAGATAAAACACACAGGAAACAAGTAGATATAAGAGTGCCAGTGCCCAGACTGTGTAGTGAACGGTGCCACGTCAGGACCCGGCCACTGTGTGGTCACGCCTCTCGTCTTCATGCATGGTGAGTCACTACCACCACCTTGCCGCCGCGTCAGGTTATTGCTCATCGCTTCTCCCTCGTCACCTTCAGTCGTCTCTCACTTACTTCACCGGGGTGCGTCGCCTGAAGCCCAACGGTGTGTCATCTGCTAGGGGAGGGCGCCAACACCTCGTGACCAGCAGCAGTGAGGAACGACCGTGTTGAGGGCAGCCTTCAGTTGACCACCTCAGCTATGGTGCCGGGGGGTCGGCCGCTCCCCTGGGTCCTGCTGCTCGTCGCCGTCTGCTGCGTGGGATCAGTAAGAGGAGGTGAGTCTTGAGTACACACACACACACACACACACACACACACACATGCAGTTACATAACCAGGCAGTATATAACGTGTATGTGGGTTTCGTGCAATTTTTCTGGCAGATGCAACGCTTGTATACAGTTTTAATATTGTTAAATTTATTGACTGCATCTCACCTGCATCAAAAGTGTGAACTATTGAGGTACAGTGATGTGTACTGAGACGTGAGGCAAGAGTGGAGAGAGAGAGTAACAGGCAGACAGACAGTAGTAGAGATAAATAGAGAAATGGAGAAAATGAGAAAACGAGAGAGAGATTGTGTAAAGATAAATAGTCATGTAAGAAAAAGAATATACTGTACAGGTAGAAACTCTTACAATAAGAATTCACAAATCACCTGATGAGTGTTTTGTTTTTTAATTCTGCAAAAAAATCAAATATAAACATGGATTAATGAGGATGAGTTTAGAATGAGAAGAAAACAAGACCTTTTATTGGGGGCAAAAAAATACGAGATATACTTCTTGAATATTTTTTGGTTCGAAAATTGTATTTTGCTAAAAATCTCAATATAGGTCGTCGACTACGTGCTGATTAAGGATCTGTGATCGAAATGTTGACATTTTGATAATTAATTGTCCTAATAGAACCCTGGAGTATCAAGTGTTGATAATTAATTATCCTAATTAATATGAGGACAGTTTATAATAAGATTTCAACTTTTTATCACAGATCCTTAGTCTGCTGGCCGAAAATAACCTACCGAGATTTAATACAAAATTAATATGTGGAGCCGGAAATTACAAGATATACCTCTTGAATAGTTTTAGGTCGAGAAATTAAATAATTAATTACTGAAATAATACACCAAAAAGTTAACTCGGAACCAACAGTTGGCGAGTAATTAGTATTGAAGAGATGTATTAAAATTATACAAGCATCATTACGACTACTATTACCCCGCAATGGAACCGTGGACCATAGATTCGGTATCAGCCTGTTGAGGAGTACCTGTACTGAGATGTTCAACAAAATCCAATATCGGGCCGAAACGGTAAGTCTAAACCTATTGGCGCAAGAACATTTGGACCGAATATATTCTTTTCTCTCGTAATTAGAATTTACCTGCTGTAACTTTTAGGTTAAAGTTAGGTAACATATTTTCGTTTCATATTCTCAAGCAAAACGTAACTTAACCTGAACTATTCTTTCCTCTCTTGACTATATTCCTCATCTTCTTTACGGTCGTGGAGAATCTATGCTGAGATTTTGAGTCATTAATTTTTTGATCCCCCAATATTCATATACGAGGCTGGGGGTCAGAATATTAACTTTGCTTAACTCTCAACATAGGTGTTCCTCCTTATACAGTTTAAGGATCTGAGAGTCAATACATTTTTAAATATTGATAATTATTTCCATCCTTAACATTAGCTTCCTTTTGCCGATTTGTTTCTTGCTTAAAATCTTGTATAGTATCGGTAATCGTCAACGAGCTCATTAAGGACCAAGTTCCTCCTGGTAATGATCAGATCGTCATACTCCAGCGACTATTGGGACAATTATCATAATTTCACTATTTCCACCACAGATCCTGACCCTGCCTGCCGAGGACGTCCTATACTGAAGCTTTTAACAAAACATTTTCGATAAAAAAAATTAATTAGGAAATTTAGTTATAAATATTTCAAACTTCACTGACTTTTAAACAATTACAAATTTTAACTTTTTGACTCGCCAAAAGGTCAAAAACTAACAGGAATACCGTAATCGGCATTTAAAATTGTCTGTTTTTAATATTTTTAGGGCTATTCATCAACATTAATAACTATAATTTTGAATTTGTTTAAACCTGATCCTAAACTAGCAGGTCCGGCTGGTAGGTCAGAACTATTGATGAAACATATTTATTTAAAAGTTACAGACAGGCCTTAATTAATGTCAGAAAAGCGATGTAATTATTTCAAAGATATTTTTCTACAGGTGTTAAAACATAGAACTCAAAGTCACTATACCAGAGAGAGAGAGAGAAACAAGTCTACTCTAATATTTTTCTCTCCCTGGTTAAGTGTCAGCACCAGAAGACTGTGAATATCGCCAGGTGTTAAACCGTATCAGAACATTTAGGTATCACATTAAGATCAATTTAGGTTCATTGTAGTCCATATTTTATTTTTTTTATCTCTTAAAGGTGAAAATCAATTAAACTTAGAAATTATTTACATTTAATCATTATTCATCATTATAAAACACGTTATTTTGAACACTATAGACACACACATGACAAAATAAATATTCACCTTGATTAATATACCTTAACTTATATACAAAGGTGACGATTCTAATTGAAGGTGATTATCATAATTTAGAAATCTGCCCTACCCCTCCCAAAAAGAGTTAAGTGCTTTAGGAATCATCAGTATATTTAACTTTTGTTTTTAAATAGATAGTTTAGATATGTAGATTAGGTTAGATTAAACAGACATACAGATAAAGACAGATACAACAACAGACAGACAGACAAACATAGATAGTTGTTAAGTAAAGTCTTCATCATACATGTTCACACTCATTTAATATGTATATAAACAGGTTAGGTCAGGTCAGGTTAGGTTAGGTTAGGTTAGGTTAGGTTAGGCCAGGTCAGGTCAAGGTTAGGTCAGGTCAGGTCAGGTACTTACGGGGGTCAACACTAACCTTTATGACTGTGAGGCAGGGTTCACTCTGGAGCAGGGAATCCCACACTTCAACACCAAGCCCTACTTCTTGCCTCCCCCGGCCAAGAACCTCACAGCGCTGGAGGGACAATCCGCCTACATACACTGCCGGGTGGCGCAGCTGGGTGACAAAAAGGTGAGTGAGGGGAGATACTGTTGGTGGGTTGACTGATGAGGGGTGTGAGGGGAGATTGGGGTGTGTGATGGTGAGGGGTGTGAAGGGAGATTGCGGGGGTGTGAGGGAAGATTGGAAGTGGTGTTGAATGGTGAGGTGTGGGGAAGATTGGCGGGGGTGTGAGGAAGATTGGAAGTGGTGTTGAATGGTGAGGAGTGTGAGGAAGATTGGCGGGGGTGTGAGGGAGAAGATGGAAGTGGTGTTGAATGGTGAGGGTGTGAGGGGAGATTGGGGGATGGAGGAAGTTGGAAGTGGTGTTGAATGGTGAGGAGTGTGAGGGGAGATTGGAGGTGGTGTTGAATATTGAGAGTCGAAGTCAACAACAGGAAGTCAAACAGAACAACATAATAATAAAAACAGTTTATATAAATCAGTGATGAACTTGGCAGGCAAAAAATATGGTCTCACGTCAACAAATACCAAAATCATTACATCCTAAAAGTTATAATTACATTAACTTGCTACGTCTATCATGAGTAGATATTTACATAATTGAAATACTCAGTGTTATAATTCAGTAAGTTAACCTTCAAATCCATAAATACAAAAAAAGATCGTTATCATTTATTCATGTATAATATTCCTCACAGGTATAATGAAATATATCCTTAACGTAATCAATATCAACATAGAATGATAATCTTGATTGTATATTGGTTGATTAGGAATATTACCTAATGATCTTAAGTTCATTCAAAGGTTATCAGAGGTTCAGTGAAGGTGTTTGTGGTCACTTGTAGGTAAACTCACTCCAAAAAATATCCTCTCGATTTTGTGTGAGACAATATGACAACATAATCCCATGATAACATTTCTGTATATAATAACAACCAATGTCTTTGTGTTGTTGTTTATTAGTTAATGTCACTTAAAGTAGTTTCATTTATTTAATTAAGGAGCGGTGGAAGGTTGTGTTTCCTGGTTTGACACTTCCTTGATGTCTTGTTCGATGAAAACCAATTATCTCTCTATCTCTATATATCTGTCTTTATCTATCTGTCCATCTGTATTTATCTATCTATTTATCTATCTATCTATCTAGCTCTGGCTCTCGCTTTCTCGTTAAAATTCGCAGTTTTCCGTCAAGATTAAACTAGCAAACTTTACCTCCAGTTGGGTGATGCTAATGCCACTGTAGCCTCACGACAACCCTAGTTACCCGTCAAGAACTTTCTCGCCTTCTCTACCTTCTACACGTCAGCTTGGATTATTATCCTCCACATGCCACCAGTTATACCTCACCTTACTGCCACTCAGGACAAGACTCAGTTATGTAACCCCAGCGTCTTCCCGGCAGGTGTCGTGGATCAGGCGTCGTGACCTACACGTGCTCACCTCCGGGGTCCACACCTTCGCCTCTGACCAGCGGTTCATGGCTCTCCACGCAGACCGCTCCGAAAATTGGACCCTCCACATCAGGTGAGTGAGAGTGACCCTTCATCTGTGTGTCCCTCCGTCACCATGGTAACTAGCGCCACCGACGACCTGACACAAGATAGCTATCACCGGTGTTACTGAAGTGAAGTGTATTTCTTTATCCCTCTGGCTTTGTTGATGGTGACAGTCAGCGGCAGGAATACACACAACACAGTAGCAGTGAGTGAAATGACAAACTGTGATGTTTCATGTAATAAATGTTCCTCTACATTACTATCCTCCCCTTTACACAAGACCACAAATATCCATCAAGTTCACCCCTTCACTCTCCACACGGCTGCTATCACCCATCAGCCACAGTCGTCCTTCCCTATACATCACTGGACATGAAGCTCTCCACTCATTTGTACACACTACCACTTCCAGGTCGTCCAACACCCCATTCCCTCACGTACTTAGTCATCCCCTCTCTCTCCCTCTCCTCCTATACACGTTTTCAATTTCTCATTTCCCATTCTGCTCTGATATGCTCTTGTCAGTGTAGTGATGACATTAGAACTTCACATAAAATACATCCAAGAGAATCATTAGTGTTTATGATAACGACAGCAAGAAAGATATTACATCAGGTCGGCGATGTGGACAAGCTGAGGCGACTTGGGGCCCACGCATAAACACCGATGTCTCTGGTGAGTGGTCTCCCTCCACCACAGTAAGACAGTCGTAAATTACGAGTTAATGATACGCAGACCGATCAACAAGAGAGTAATTAAACCATTGATGAGTCTAGCGGAGTTTAATTACTCGTAACTAACTCGGCTTAATGGTATCCGTGGGAGAGAGGAAAACTTACAGACACAGATCAGATGAAAGAGTTTGATGTGAGGTTTATTACCTGTCTTACCAAACGAGTAATTAATCGCTCAATTTAACATTTCCTAACAATAACTATTAAACTCCCAACATCACCGACATTTACTAAAATATACTAAATAATTAAAGCTACAGTAACCTCAGCTTTAACTACAACAACAACAATGGTTAATGAACATATTGTGAAGTGATATTTTCTCCTCAAGTCTTAACTATGTATAATTCTATGTAAACTTGACCGCCATATTGTGATCATCATTTTTGGGTTTTATTACGATTTACTAAGGTTACCACCACTTGTTGCCGTCACACACGAAGGCTAGATTAGGTTAGGTTAGGTTAGGTTCCCCAAAGGTTAGACTGCCCTAACTCCCCTTGCCTGGTGTAGGACAGATGACAGGTGTAGAAGCCCTTGAGTAACGTGAGTTTGTTGTCTGCAGGTTCAGTCAGGTGAGGGACTCCGGGGAGTACCAATGCCAAGTCAACACAGACCCAAGGATCTCCATGATCTTCTTTCTCCATGTACAAGGTGAGTGTGTGTGTGTGTGTGTGTGTGTGTGTGTGTGTGTGTGTGTGTGTGTGTGTGTGTGTGTGTGTGTGCGTGTGTGCGAGCGTATACATATAAGAGACAATACACACTCAAATATTTACCTCCTGTATACCTTATGCTTACAGAGGCCGCCACCCTGATGGACGGGTCTGACCAGAGATACGTGAGGCAGGCAGCTCCATACAGCTCGTGTAGTACATCCATAGCCTCACAGCCTCCAGGTAAGACCTCAACCCTCCTGTAGCACCTTAAGACAGCCCCGTGTCACTGCCACCCAGCTCACCTGGTCTGGTCTCTCACAGTCCTATGATTGTCCCCAAGGCGTTATTTTCACCAAGGTCTGTGTTTGTGTTAAATAATAATTAATTAGTAATCACAATTCATTAACATTACCTAATTAACCTCTTATAATTTAGGTAACTATGGTATGGGTAATCTTTAAAGAATGGATTTCAAATTAGATAATAAAAATGGCGGGCAATTTTAGGCAATCATTAATTAATTATCTCTAAATAACAACATTGTAAATATAGTTGAACATTTCAAGATATTTTACATAGAAATATTCTATTAACCTCAGACTTTAAAAATCTTTGGGTATTACTTAAAAAAAGGGTTATATTTGGATTCGTCTTTGAAATGGCCATCAGAAAATATCTCAAGTTTGACTCGTTCCACAGTGCCATCAAAACCACCTACTGTGCCTCCCTTAGTGCCACACCAGAGACTCGGCACCTACCCAAACTTTCTTATCCTCGACCACAACAACAAATAAATCATAGTAACTAACCACTACTTGCCACGTGAACACTACAGCACTTAACACAACTGTATCTTCCACTCCTTCTATACCTTCATGCTTACTGTATTCCTGTATCCTCACTCCTTCTATACCTTCATGCTTACTGTATTCCTGTATCCTCCACTCCTTCTCCCAGGTTTACTGTACTGGTATCGAGACGCGGAGATCTTACAGCAAGGAGGCCGGGTGAACATCAGCACTCACCTGGAAAACGAGACGGTGAGCAAGTTGGTGATAGACGGAGCACGAGTGACCGACTCCGGCAACTACACCTGCTGGCCTACTAAGTTCCTGCCTGCCTCTGTTATGGTCCATGTTATACCAGGTGAGAGAGTGAGAGAGTGAGGGAGAAAGAGAGTGAGGAGAGTGAGATAGAGAGAGGTGTAGGGAGGAGAGAAGGAGAGGGTGTGTGTCAGAGACTGTGTGTGTGTGGGGGGAGATGGGGTGTGGGTTGGGCTGGGCTGGGCTGGGCTGGGCTTGGCTGGGCTGGGTTATCCGGAACAAGTAATGTTTCACCTTACCATCGTCTCAAGACTCGTGATGAAAAGTTTGTGATTTCTTATTACAGAATCTCTTCCAAGTTTTGGCTAACTTTATCATTTTTAATCCCTTTCCTTCCTGACTCTGTTTATGGAAGATTAAAGTGCTGTGCTGTGCTGTGCTGTGTTGTGGTGCAGTGCTGTGTGGTGTGGTGTGCTGTGCTGTGCTGTTCTGTTTGGTTAGGTTAGATTATAACGAGTTAGTGCAGGTTAAATCAAGTTAAATTACTGTATGTGGTTTAAATGATTCTTCAGAAAAGATCAAAAGACAAAATTTTCAGAAACTGATTTAAACAATCTTTTCGGAAAATTGAGTGAGGTGAAGGACATTAGTGGCCAATATTATTAATACGTCTAGGGAATACAGACTTCATACCTTTTTGGGGAGAATTTGAATCAATTATTGTTTTATACCGCTGATCATATAGATTTAGGACCGTATTATATATTTTGTTTTGTTAGATTATTTTTATAGGAATTCGTATCACTTAATGTTGCTATATCGCTTAAGAAGATGAGAAAGTATTGAGGACTATCCACACGTACTGAATGGGCGGGAAAATAAAATCCACTTTAGCATGATCGGGGAAATATTTTTGGGACGTAAGATTACTTGAGATATACATAAATATACATTGAAAATAAGTTTGTTTAGCTCTAGAATATCAAGGAGGTTTATAATCAATAAATATGTAGACGATTATACACAATTTCACGTATGAGCATGTTACCCCTATTGACGTATTCTGGGAGTTGCCACATCTCACACGACGTACCAGTCACTGTACCAGGTATAAGTGGAGGCGACTGTACTTTTGTCCACTGAATTCCTCTCTGAAAGGACTTATTTTTATATGATATAGCCACCTCATCCTAAACACCTATACAGTACTCACATATTATCACTTTATGTACTCTAAATATACCGGATATAATTGTACTCATTTCACAGTGTAACAAAACAATCATATACCCTCATAAACAATAATAATCACCAATTACTAAATAAACCGACTATTATTAAAAATGTATTGTTGATGAGTTTTGTTCGTTTTCTATAATTACCAAATATTAATGACAAAATGAAACCTTTAAATCAATTCTTTTTTTTTTACCGTGACTCAGGTTAATAATAATTACCTGGGTACTCTGTTGTGTCTACCTGTTTTATTTAGTTCAGGTGTATTTTTAGTTATGTCATCCATTACTATAAACTACCCAACATGAGGTGTGATTCTTATCTTGTATGTCTTGATGTTATCTTTTTTTATCAGTTCACGCTAGTCTGTTATCATCCCACAGAGGAGAAAGCAGCGGCCAAATCCCTCGGTACTGGGAGCAATGGTGGCGGGTCTTCCACTACAAGCAACTCGAAGGCCTCAGCGTCTCCACCCTCTGCTGATATCTTGCTCCTGCTGTTGCTGACACTAACCATGCTGACGTGGACAGCTGACTTCCTGTTATTGACTACCACTTTTCCCTTGTGCTCCCCATCCGTCCACCTCCCCGTCAGACTACGCCCTCCTTCAAGATAGTCAATTACCGTAACTTAACTTAACCGTATTGAGATTTTGTGTTATGAGTCACCTCTCTCTCCTTTCTCTCGTCCTATCCTGTTCCTTTCGTTATTTATATTGTCTACTTCTACCTTCTTCCGTAAGAGACATAACACAAGTGTCACTGTAGATTATTTTATTTTAATTTGTATGAAACTTTACTATTAAACGTGTGTGTGTGTGTGACAGCCAGGAGGGAGACTCACAGCATATCTCATTAGTGTGGAGAGAGGAACTGGCTTTTACAATTAAGAAAAGACGTAAATCATATGCAAATTTGAGAGAGATAATTTGTAACGTATTCCATTTATCTGAAAGACAATTCTCTTAATGTGAAAAATTACGTCGTTCGTGGCGCTCTTGCTCTCACTCCCAGGACCAACAGAATAAGAAACGTTCCCTGAACCTGATTACTTCCGGTGGTGGTCTCCAGCAGTAATGGTCTCCCTTGCTGAGGGTCTCCACCAATAATGGTCTACCTTAACAGTCTTCGCCCACTGTGGTCTCCACTACTGGTCTCGTTATGTTAACAATGAAGGACTCGTCAATGGTAACTCTGTTGCTTTTTATGTTTACGTGTCCACCGAGGGTACTTGTTTTGGACCAGCGGCCACAACAACAGATTTATTGTGTATTTGTAAATAAAAATAATACTCAACAAATACAGAGTGATCTAGTTACACCTGCCTGCGTCACCCTCACAGGTGACTCAGGGAAGGTAAGGCGTACACCTCCTTCACCAGGCGGTGGGTGGTGTGAGGGGAAGGTAACTTTGAACTTATCATCGGGGCTTCTGTCAGTGACTATAAATATTATGAAACCTTAAAACTAAACCACCACGACCCAATACGTATAAATCTAAGACTACCCCCGTATATATATATATATATATATATATATATATATATATATATATATATATATATATATATATATATATATATATATATATATATATATATATATATATATATATATATATATATATATATATGCATATGCGCGCTTACCTGTATACAAACATGCACGTTACTGCATATACTCATTTTATAAATGTCTATGTAATGCTCTGAAGCATTAGTTTGTCACTTTCATTAACCCATGTACATAATCCGACAAACACACTCTCATAAATACACACACACACACACAAACACACGCACACACATACACTCCTGATATTGGTAATGTTTTTAACATGTCTCTGTAATGCGTTGAAGCATTAGAGGACGTGGTGTACATGTCTACCCGTAATGTTTTATGTTGTACACGAGTCTGCATGTACCAGGGGACAGGAGCCTTCATACAACTGTTATCATCGTCGACGACATAAGGTGTACATCTGCTGGGCTGAGCCTCACACTCCCCAGCCAAATCTATTTCTTTTAATAAATATAGTTTTGCAACTTTATATTTTATTAACCTTTACAGTGACTATATTCACCTCCAGCAATATTTTAGACCACAGAAGGTAAGTTATATAAATAGTATAATAAAATAATATATAGAACTGTGAGGAGAAACTTAGGAAACAAAGGTGTGAAGAAACATACATACTAAAGGTAATGTACATAGGAAATGGTACTTCTTCCCTCTACTAGCAGAGCTTCCTGACGGCACTGTTTCTCTGAGTCACACACACGGGGAGGGAGGGGTGTGGGGGTTAGGAAGCTTAGACGGTATAAGTAAAAACCCTTTATATGTATATTGGCTGAAGAAGAATGACAGGGTAATGGCGGACGTGTTCCCTGGGAAGATAAACCCAAACTTTGTGGGGGAAAATCCCTTATCAGTGGGTGAAGGATGGTCACACCTCCTTCAGTACTCCTTCACCACCTTGGTTCCTCTCCTGCTGCTAAAAGTTACATTCCTTGATGTTTTTCAGAGCTAGAGAGTGTGTGTGTGTGTGTGTGTGTGTGTGTGTGTGTGTGTGTTTGTTTTCCTTAGTTGTGTTCGTAGTGAAGGAGTGTTGTGCATTCTAACGTGAGTAGGAAAAAACTGTGCATGACTCAGGATTTTTGGGGGTGGTGGAGGAGGAGGAACTGCCTAAGGAATTTGAAGAGTTTGGGCTGGGAAAAAACGTGTCCCTCCCTCCCAGACATATTGATATGACAGGTGAGGAAGATAAAGTTTTGCGAGCTACGAGTACAGTTTTGTTGAAGGCTAGTGAAGAAAGACAAGAATATGTAAGTATAGCCCCTCTCTCTCTCTCTCTCTCTCTCTCTCGTGTGTGTTTCTGCTTCAACCTCTTCCTTCATACTTTTACAATTGCATTATACCAGAGATCTTGTATTTTGTTTATCCTTCATCCAGTTTAAACATAGCTCACCATACCAAAACCCCGAGTGGTGGTACAGTGTTGCATTGGATACATATATTTCAATTCATGTTCCTTCCCACAGGTAACATTTGCTATTTGTTGACATTGAGTGAAGTTTATAGTTTCGTGGTAAGGTAAGTCTCCTATGGTTGATTGGTGTGTGTGTGTGTGTGGTGATTATTTCAGTGTTATGATTCTGTCAGGACATATTTAGTCTCCTGGGTCTACCAAGATGGAGACATGATGTGTAAATAAAACGTTAAATATTACTACAGCAATAATCATACGCCTGGCAGCAAGTAACTGATAGAAACATATTGTACTCATCAAATAGATATTGAAAATAGTTTAAGATTTGTTAATGTAAAGAAATACAATAAGCAAAGGTTCTCAGAGTAGTGTGGTATTCAGAGGCAAAATCAACTGGTCAGACAATGTAGAGACTATCAGAGAAGTGTTTGGCTGAAGTTTGACTGGTGTACAAGTTGACACACTCAACCTCCGCTACTCGTTGGGCTTAGTAATCGAGGATCTTTGAGAGGAATACCGAGGAATACCGAGGAATGACAGAATAAAAATGTTGCTTGCCGAAGACCAGTGCCATCACACAACAAAAGGCAAAAATGTATGAGGTGGAATATCCTTTTTGCTCTGAAATACTCTTGAAAAACTAATATTGTACAAAAGGGAGTGCTCAAGGGTGCCAGTAAAGTGTTGAAGAGTGCCAGAGTGCTAATAGTGTGTTCGGAGAGCCAGTAAACTGTTGAAGAGTGCCAGAGTGTCGTAGAGTACCAGAGTGCCAATTGGTGTGTCCGGAGAGCCAGTAAACTGTTGAAGAGTGCCAGAGTGCCAGTAGAGTACCAGTAGAGTACCAGAGTGCCAGAGTGCCAGTAGAGTGTTGGCCCTCCACCACGGCCATCAAGTTAACGCTGACGTAACGTAGTGTCAGTGTGACGGCCTTAATGCCATTCCCGGGTATGACCGTGTCGTGTCCCCAGCAACAATGAAACAAGTCGCGCTGAATTACGTTTCCATTCATGCAACTAAGAGCTGAAACAGGATGCGAGAATATTGCATCTGGAATACAAGAGTCAGGGACGTGATATCATGGTAGGAGGCAGGATGTGGTGTCATGGTAGGAGGCAGGATATGGTATCATGGTAGGAGGAGGTGGTATCATGGTAGGAGGCAGGATGTGGTATCATGGTAGGAAGAGGTGGTATCATGGTAAGAGGATGTGGTATTATGGTAAGAGGCAGGAGGTGGTATCATGGTAGGAGGAGGAAAAAAGAAAAGTGGAGAAAACAGAGAGGGGGAGGAAGAGGGTGAGAGAGCCCCCAGGAGAGGTCGTCACACGGTAATATATTTGGGTGATGCGGTGTGACACGGTCGTTTCTCCAAGTTAATATTGTTGCAGCCAACCTCTTATCGGCCCTACGATGAGTGTCTGAGAGATGCAAGAGAAGGATATAGAGGAATGTGATGGACAGAGAAGGAAGGAGGAGAGAGTAACAGCCGGTGAGGTTGAACAGGAGAGGAGTAGCTGTTGAGGTTGAGCCGGGGAGGAGAGGAGTAGTGTGAGGTTGAGCCAGGAGGAGTAGCTGCTTTGAGGTTGAGCCGGGAGGAGAGGAGTAGCTGCTGAGGTTGAGCCGGGGAGGAGAGGAGTAGCCGTTGAGGTTGAGCCGGGGAGGAGAGGAGTAGCCGTTGAGGTTGAGCCGGGGAGGAGAGGAGTAGCCGTTGAGGTTGAATGGTGAAGGAAAGTAACAGCAGCTGAACACGTCATCCAGAACACCTCCCTCACCTCCCAATTCCCCCTGCAGTAACTCCCTAACATCATCCTACATTAATATAATCCTTATCCTTCTAATCCTCAAAGGGGTTCTTCCTCCACACCTCACACACAGAATCGTCCAAGGCTTCCCCCAGTGCCCTCGACGCATCCACCAGCCGCTAGTACCCATTCTAAAGGCCCCGCTAATGCATTTGATAATTAATAAGACCAAAACTGATGATGATATTAATCAGTAGAGTATTGGTTGTGGTGGTGATATAAGGTGGTGGTGGTGGAGGTTGTTGTTGGTGATGGTGGTGGAGGCTGTTGTTGGTGATGGTGGTGGAGGTTGGTGATGGTGGTGGAGGTTGGTGATGGTGGTGGAGGTTGTTGTTGGTGATGGTGGTGGAGGTTGTTGTTGGTGATGGTGGTGGAGGTTGGTGATGGTGGTGGAGGTTGTTGTTGGTGATGGTGGTGATGCTGGTGAAGTACAGTAGAGAGTGAATGGGGGAAAAACCCTCTCTCCTCTCTCTCTCTCTCTCTCTCTCTCTCTCTCTCTAACTAGCGGTAGGAGTCAACTAATAATTACACGCTAACATTGAGATGAGACAGACACAATAAACTCCTACTCCTAACACCTCCTCCTACCCTTTCTCCTTTTCCTCCTCCTCCTCCTCCTCCTCCTCCTTCTTCTCCTTCTCCTCTCCTTCTTCTACCAACACAATTTACAGACAGAAACATCGTCAATTGACTCTGGAAATGCAGCTTCTTCCCATGAAAATTTCTCCCAAGCTTCACTCCGGAGCCCGGCTAATGAACTCCGAATTCCATGACGATCAGGAAATAGCTTTTGCAGTTTATGCTTCGTGCTTTTTTTTTTAAACCCTCCCGAGTAGTGAAGCAGACCCTGGGATGTGAGAGGCAGCAGCTGAGAGAGGCAGTGATCCAGTTGTGAAAACATTGTGGGAGGAAGATGATGATGAGAGAGAGAGAGAGACAATAATGAGAGGCAGTTGAGAGAAAGACAGTGACTGAATTGAGAAGCAGTTGAGAGAGACAGTGACCTAATTGAGAGGCAGCTGAAAGCGAGAGACAGTGACCAAACTGAGAGGCAGCTGAGAAACAGTGAACCGAATTAAGAGACATCTGAGAGAGACAGTGACCTCATTCTGTAATAAATATTGAGATATACATAAAAAGAGATAGTTAATTGAGATATATAAACATTGACAACCAGACCAAGAGAGACAACTGACACCTTAATTAATCCCTCCACCAGGTAAACAAATTAAGAAAAATTAACCCACCTGGAATTTTTTTTAATCCCTCTACGATTAACACATGATACACCCTGACTAATAATTTACAAATCTGACAAACACATTAAGTTACATCTGACGCTCTTATGTAAATGAGCATTATAAGCCATTTAAGGACGATGGTTTAAGCCTTAGTTCATTAAAGACGAGAAAGGTATAATCCTAAAGGGGTTAAAACATCATAGTGTAAGGGGGATTATGTATGGTTTAATAGTGGTGGTGGTTAATGCTGTAATGTCCTCACAGCAGTAGCCAGAGTGGTATAACCTCAACATAGCAGGAGAGAGAGAATTCCCACGTCATAATATTAGTAAAATTAATATGATGATGAATATACAAGGGTACTGAGAAAAGGTAGAATGGAGAGGGTATATGATCTCCCCTCTCTCTCTCTCTCTCCTCTCTCTCTCTCTCTCTTCTCTCTCTCTCTCCTGACCACCTCGAATAGCTCCCAAA